ACGGCAGCTCTGCACCACTGGAGAAGCGCGGGCTTTTACGCACAGGAAACTCCTTTGGGGACGGTGATGTTGCAGATGCGTGTTGACAGATGCGTCCCTAACAGGCTGGGGTGCCACCCAGGAGGGCAGAACGGTGAACGGTTTGTGGCCGAGCAGACTACGTTCAGCGCACATAAATTATTTAGAGCTTATGACCATATGGAAAGCTCTGAATTATTTTCTGCCTCGCCTGCAGGGGCATCATGTGCTCGTACGCTGCGACAATACCACAGCGGTAGCATATATCAATCGCCAGGACGGTTTGCGCTCATGGAAACTTCACGCTGTAGCTCACAAGCTTTTAGTGTGGAGCAGGCGGTTTTGGATTTATTTACATGTGTGGGCCTCATACATGTTTCATGTCCTGCCTGTGCACAGCAGTCATGTGTGTGTGTGTCAGGATTGTCAGGTGCATGATTATGGGACATGTCAGGCACCGCCCCCTTGGGGTGACTATCCTTCTCTGGTTTACAGAACCTCACTGTGAGTGTATTGGGCAATCGGGGAGCTGTCCATGTCTCTCCCATAGGTGGATCTCGAACATCATCGATGATGAAAGAGAACAATAGGTTACTGTCGTAACCCCGGTTCTCTGAAACATCGAGTGGAGAGATCCACCAGCTTTGCCCCGCTTGCCGCACGAGAAGCGAATATACTTACTGGAGAATAGCGTCGCGTGCAGGCCTTATATGCTCTCAGGTAAGGGGGTGGGGCCTTACCTGGCATTGGCTGCGCGCTTCTGTCTGTCTAGCCAGACTTGGTGCAATTGGATGCTTCTGCAGAGGTCAGGTACAGATGCCCTTCCTATAGGTGGATCTCTCCACTCGATGTTTCAGAGAACCGGGGTTACGACAGTAACCTATTGTTATGTACTTGCTCAAAAATTTATTTTGGATAATTTTTAAACAAAATAGTTGCAGCTTTAAACCACGGGCAAATAACAGCAAATGTGGTCATAAACCACATGCCATATTTTTTGTGGGTAACACTTTATTTTAAGGACCAATTCTCACTCATAACTAGTTGCTTATTAGCATTTATATTACTAGCATATTGGCTGTTTATTGGTACTTATTAGGTACATATTAATGCCTTATTCTGCATGACCATATAGATCCCTTAACCAGATCCAATACCTAAACTTAACAACTAACTTACTATCTATTAATAAGCCACAAATTAGGAGTTTATTGAGGGAGAACTTTTAGTGAATATGTGTTCCCTAAAGTGTTACATTTTTGTGTAACCAATTACAAAGAATATTCAAAAATATTTCATTATATATAGTATAGATGTATACACACATTCCCATATTTGTGTGACTGCTCTGTTAGCATTGTAGCCAATCACAGGCAGTTCAACTAAAAACAAAAAACCTCTTATGCGTTTTGGCTGTTCATTTACACAACAACAGCATTTTGGGAGCCTGAAAACTCAAACTTTAGAAAACGAGTTTCAAAGTGCAAGTTTTTGAAAACGATACCAGTCATTTCTGTGTAAACTGCGAAAAACAAATTTGTGGTGACATCATACGCCATGTGTATTACGTGTTCAGTCTATAATGTTGTCACGGTACCTAAATTTCAGCAGTCGGTACCAATACCACCACAATCCCATGGTTATCTAGTTTCGGTAACATAGCAAAAATTATTGTAATGGTATCAATAATTATAAGTAAATACGTTAACATTAGCATGTCACCATCAAATATTGTTCAGTTATGTAAACATTGTATTAAAAAAGATCAAATGAAAGTAATAAAATAACAAAGAAGCACATTAAAATGGCCGGTCTATTGCACTATTAAGTGAAGCCACAGGAAGTTTTCGAGCTGCCATTTACTATTCCCTACCGGCTGAGAGCATCATTGACTGACAGCCAAAACACTGACCTAAAATCACCCGATTTGAAGCGTATCAGTCACACAGGATTAGTTTTTAAGATATGTTTATGTAGCATTTGGACCAATCAGACACACAATTGTTCATTAGATTTAACAAATCAATTATTCATTAGATTAACAAACAATCACAAACCCCCTCACCCAACATCAGACTCGGTGCCTATATGTCTGTGAATGACGTCCAGGCCCCTGGTTACCATAGCAATCTTGACACCTCAGCCAGATCAGATAAACTTTATGACCTAAAAGTATGTAAAAAGAATCTTCCCTCCTACTTAATTCTCTCAAACAGACACATACTGCTATAGGAAATGACTTACATTAATTCATAGACAAATTTTTCTATCATGCATATCCCCAGGTCATTGTGTATGATTACTACCTTCTTGTATATGGTTTTGTGTATTGTATATGTTTTATGCATGCTTATGATCGATCACTAGTTATACCATGTTTATATACCTATACCATGTTTGGTATCTATGAGTTCGTATTTTCATGATCTAAATGAGTGTAATGAAAGTGTATATTATATGTTGATACCTATGCAACACATTAATATTATAAGAATCTTGAAGATTCTTCTCTTGAACACCCAATCGAGTTTCATATGCAAAACACCATGCTAGAGACAAAGAGTCGTAAACTTTCCCTCCAAAAGTTCAAGTCATCATTGGCTCTTTGATCCCCCAGAGGTGTGACCTCAATAGAAGTTAAAGGCAAACACATCAGCAACCCGCTTCAGTCTGCGGTTCTGTTAGATTCTGAGAAGATGAGGATGTGAGATAGAACTCTTCTGCAACCCTTAAGTCTGCGCCAGGCTTCGGCCTTGTCTTTACATTCACCAACAATCCTTGGATCTCAGCTGATGTCTCTCTTAGCTTTTCTTCACTTTCCATTTGGCAGAAAACTCTCCCGACCACCACAGAGTCAGAATAACATCTTCTTGGAGTCTATCACTCTTTAAACCCGGAAGAACATGATCGCGACTCCTACACTACTGAACCTCCAAACCATCAAGACTTTCATCCGAGACTGCATCCGGACGCTCGTTCAAGGCCAAGGC